ACACACACACACACACACACACACATTGATTCTTATATATATATATATATTTCACGAAAATTTGCATTGTTCACAGATAAATTTTTCTTATAATAGTTTAAACGATAAATATTGATATATATTATATGTATATATATATTACGCGAAATAGTTAAAAAACAAGTTAAATCTTGTCAATGCAGAATTTTAGCACTATTGTGTTTCACAAAAGAGGTGCGCAAAAATGTGAAGCGATTAGATAAAGTCTACGCAAAGTTGTTCTTTATTGTTTGAAGGATGGAATATAGTTCGAAAGATTGAGCGTTATAAGAAAATAACATGACATAAAAATATAAAAATTTTTACTATTTAAAATTCGATATAAGTACTCGGATATGCATAATTGGAATAATTAAAGAATTCTCTAAAAAATCCCCGTTACGACAAGCAGAATCGAATACGATGCACTTTAAAAGAAAATTTACATTTCTGCTTTTATTAAAGTATTCATCATGATTTACATTATGCGCGAATTAGCTTTAAGTGACATTTGAAACTATGTTTCCAATTGGGACGCGAAAGTGGCGATTAATCGGATTTAATTTATTAAGGATATCCCGTGTTATCCGGCAGATTTCGATCGCGATATCTGATGAACTCGTTAGACAAGCAGAAGGAAAGCGAGCGCATGGCGTGTATGTGTACGCTAGTTTTCTGACGTGCGTCTTCGGCACAAGCATCACTTTCACCGAGCACTCGATGCGTAACGCGACGCAAAAAGTGGTTTTTCGCACCGATACGTTGTCGTTATACGCTCGATCGAACGGCCGTGTGCGCGTATCGGTCGAATTATCATTTGCGAACGCGTGCATGCGATTTATTAATATTTTCATCGTTTTCGTCTCTATGCGTCATCTTTTTCGTCTCGAACGTCCGAGGTGGCGGCGAAGAAACCGCCCGCGCCGCGCCGCTGAACGCCAGCTCGTGAAAACAAAAGTAGGGCAGATGAAAGTAATCTCGCATTAAACGTCGGAACGAAACTGAATAACTATATAATTCACTTTCGGTTCATTCCCTGTTAGGGGAGCGTCTATCGGTGCAACATGTACATTTCTTCAGACGACTTTCCCGATTTATTAGACTGCAATAGAGACGAAACGATCAAAATCTGATGCCCGTGAACTCGTTTAATCATGACTTTCGTATACAAAAAAAGTTCTGTTAAAGTATTGAAAAATTTAACTATAATATATGTAGATACGAAAATAACTTTGTTAGATCTATCAAAACTATCAAAATAATTATGTAGAATGCTCAAGCTGATTGTTAGAACATTAAAACTTTTTGTAGCATTACATGCAGCATTTCATTTACAAATACAAGTAAAATGTCTGTAATATGAGCTCCATGATTGTTATGCGTAAATAATGTATTTATAAGTTTACAATATATAATTCAAAAAGAAAAAATAATTGGAGTGTAGCAAAAATGAAATTAATTGCAAACATTTCGACTGTAGATCTAATCCTTCTCATTGCGGAAGAATAAGATATGTCAATATATATAACATTATTTACGCATATTAAAACTACAGAGGATCATTAAAATTACAGAAGTCGCATTCTACATCGTGTCTAGGGTCATAAAAATGAATTATTTGGAATTTTTTAAATTTATCACGAAAACATGTTAGTGCACATATTGTGTAAGATTGAAGGTTATAACAACAGAAGGTTATAACAAGCAAGTACATGTATGAAATTAGCCCCCCTTTTTTTGAAAATTAAAATTTTGACAATCGTTTCTGAGATTGTTCTGAGTTTGTTCTATATTGTTCCAAAGCGATATTATTTTATTCCAAATTGTTCTCCAATAAAATGGAAAAAGCGATTTTTTTTGCTAGCCCCCTTTTTGAATAATTAAACAATTTCTTCTCATTACAGATTCTTCTAGTTGTTCCAAACATTGTTTTAAAAAGAAGACAATTCCGTAAGTCGAACGGAAATCGAGAAAAATAAAAACACGTTTTTCAACAAACGAACGCTCCGACCAAAAGTAAAGATACACTCTCTTTATTCTAACACAGAATTTTATATTTTCAGTTGTTCTAGTCCTATGAAAGATAATTCTGCAGTGAATCTAGCCACCGCTATCGGTTCTTCCAAAAACTGAAAAAATTGATCCCATTAACTACAGCAATAAGAGTAAATCACTACTGGTTCTTCCAAAAAGCGAAAAAAACCCATTTTTTGCATCCACTATCAAGAGTAAACATGCACTTTCTTCCGTGTTCCAATCGAGGACTTTTTTTTCTGAATTGTTCTAGTCCTGCGAAACATAGTTCTGCAGTATGAATGATACACTACTTTAAAATCGTCATACCGGCTTTTTAAAATGGCATATCGGTGTATTCATAAATACATATAAACGCACGCGCGCGCACGTGTTTTTTCTTATTATATATTTGTCAATAATAATATAATATCAATAATACACGGAATTTTTAAAGAATGGCTTGAATGAATCATCCAAGACTTACGCGCAAAAAGTAGCTATATAAGGAGATTGGTTGGAGATATTTGTTCAGAATGATGAGAATACAGTATGTTCAAAATGTACGGAGTGTATTAGGGATCCTTTAATAATATAAAAAAATTTTTTAGTTTTAAATATAAAATTGTAGCTTCTTTCAAAAATCTGGAAAAATTCCCCAACATACTCTAATATACATATATAGAATATGATATTATAAAAAAAAATTTGAAATCGCAATGGGAATTCATCCATAAACTTTAATAAATAATCTTTTTCTAAAACTTTTTCCAAAACAAAATTTGAATTTTGGTCTAATTACTATGAAATGAATAGATTTTTTTAAGATACTTCCTTTTACCTTTAATTTTTCAATATATT